TTTTTTTTGTTGAATGTTATGTTTGTTGAGTTCGAATAATTTAGTAAAGAAACTTTTAAAATTGTTTGATTAACTCGATATACGTTTGTTCAAACTTGCTCAAGCTTGACAAGAAAAAAAATAAATAAAGAACAATATTTTCATATTTCATATTTCAAATATTCTATTAAAATATCTTTCTTATATATAAATACAAGAACAAAATAAAATTATGTTAAATTATTATTCACAAGCATTATCTAACGTTTATGTTCGTTTGATTATTAAACTCGCGTAAATTTTTATATGAACTCAACTCAATTAACATTCGTTTGATTACTAATCTAGCGTAATCTTTTATATGAATTTAACTCTATTAATAAAATCACGAGCTCTTGTCAGAGTTCAAATGAGCTTTAGTATGTGAATAGAAAAAATATAGTGGGGAATAAGCTTATACATGAGTTAGGACACATGTCATAATGATATTGCTCGAGTCAAACTTGGGCATTAAGGTATACATATCTTATGAAAAGGACCTAAGGTATCACAAAAACACATTCCCTCTACATTTACTACTATACTATTATATTACACTCTTTATCTCTAGCGAGTGCTGACTTAAGCATCAAAGGGTCGACACCTAGACAAATAGACATCGTTATTTTACTATTATACATACCACACTGTTCTTAGAATTAATAACATAAAATTTTTATGTGAGGCGACCTACAATTAAAGGGATCGACGAATATATTACTTTAATAAAATTAAATATTTATGCATTATAATATCATTCAAATCTATTATATAATTTTACCTATGTGGAAGATTTCCTAACATAAAAACCATTACAGTTGTACAAAAAAAAAAAAAAAAACCATTACAATCTATTATTATTATTATTATTATTATTATTATTATTATTATTATTATTATTATTATTATTATTATTATTATTATTAATTAGGAAAAAAACCGTAAATGTTAATATCAACTGAGTATATAATTAAAATTTTATTGTATCATATAATAGTTATTATTAAAATTAATTATTATATTTTTACACTAAATGATATATGAAAAATACATAAACATAAAACTTTTTATTCAAGTTATTTATTATGAAATAAATATTATATATTTTATCTGATTAAGTGATTATTTTCTAAATAAATTATTTTTTCACAATGACATAGTAAAATTTATTAAATTCGCTTAAGCAATTGTTATAACAAATTTAATATTTTTCAGCTAATTAATTAGTCATAATCCATTAAACTAAATTACAAAAATTATATTATTCATTACATTATATTAAAACATCATAGCATTATCTAACGTATAATATTAATATTCTATGCATAAATATAACTTATGATATTCAATTGTTAAATATTATACCATAATGTAACTTATAATTTATATATTAGACGAATTCAAAAAATTCATAATATTTAACTTTATGAAAATGCACACTACCAAAATACTAGTGTTTTTTAAAGCGTACACTCAACAATTAGTAGATCCAATTGTGCTGATATAAATGTCCAAGTCCAACCGAGTAAATTAGATGAGCTTTTATTTAATAAACTATACACTGACTGATAATCCTAAGATCATCTTTGAGTCCTTTGTTTCTTTCTCTCTCTCTCTCGATCGAGCTGTATGGTGTCAATGTACTACCACGGGGCTAAAAAACTGTGAAATTTTCGAGATTCTATGACAGGTTATGGCGATTAACAGAGGATTATTATCTGGTGCGGGCATCAACCGGAGCAAAAGCTCTGGATCTCGCTTTCACATTGCCGTCCTCGTCTTCATCTTCTCTTTCCTCGGTTTCTCCCTTTTAATCTTCAGCCGCGTCTTTACACCGGCAAACTCAGGTTGGTTTTCCTGTAATCTGGATTTTCATACCTTTTTTTTTTCCCCTTTTGTGCCGCAATTTGTGTTGAAAATTTTGGAACTTTCTTTGTTATTGTTATTATTATTCTTAGACAACAAGTCCTATAAAATTCAGTGTGTCAGATCTATGGTGATTGTGTTCATATGTAAAGTTTATGGGTGCTTGCGGGGCTTTTGAGTCGATGAATGATGCGAGGTAGTTATAAATCTCGAGAAAGGTGCTTTCATTTTCAATGGCGCTTCTTTTGTAATCATGAAAGAATGCGCTGCTTATTGGTTGGAAAGCACTAAACGACAACAAACGACAACATACCCAGTATATTCCCAACTGGTTGGGGTCTGGGGGTCAGTTGTACGCAGACCTTACCCTTGTAATTATACAAGGAGGCTGTTTCCGTATCGACCCAAAGTGCATTGCGTCGTTTCATATATATTTTCTAGAAACTTCACTAATAGAAGAAGCACTAGAATTTATTGAGCGATTTTGATCTAGTCCATTATTAGCACTATGCCAGGAGAATTGTCAACAATGACTCTTCCAGCTCCATTATTAGCACTATGCCAGGAGATTTTGATCTAGTCCATTATTGGTTGGAAAGGACTAATGTCCACAAATAAGTGCTTGTGTGACATACTCCACATGTGTTCTTATTAGTCATTAAAGCGAAAAATGGTGTTTCAAAGTTCAAAATTAGGGCTAAACTGATGCAACCACTAGCTCGCTTGGTTGGTTGAAGACTTGAAGCATTAAGACTCTGCATTAAAATGCAAATTTGTTTCGGTTCCAGTTACATCATTCTGTGATTATGTCTCTTCGGGTGGATATCGTGTTCTTTGAGTCACTCGAACATTTTCTCGATCTTGTTATTCTTTATGAATGTAACGACACACTCCAATGTTTTTACTATTTGTCCTCTTCTGGTAACAGAACATATTTGGACTTAGGTAATTAGGTTTGCACGTCAACTACTGTATGTACAGGCATTGTTAAGTTCACTTTGGTTTTTTATATTACTTTTGTTTCGAATCTGACTTTAAGTGTAAATTTACATTTCTTCAGGCGAAGATGAATTATCAGTTATTTCTACCAGACAGGTAAAATTTTTGGACGCATACTTCATTTGGCAATGATATTGGGTGTGATGTAGATAACGAGGAATAACTGTTTATTACAGGACTTTACTTGGAGAGAGAAGCTCGCATTAAAACATCTAAAATCGTTATTCTCTAAAGAGGTGTGCATTTGACAAGTGCACGTGAGAATTTCAGGAGTATGTTTAAAGTTATTCGTGTTTTTTCCACTAATTTGCAATTTTGCATATTTTTTAGGTAATTGATGTCATTAATGCCAGCACAGATGAACTGGGGCCTTTAGATGTCAATTTTTTTCGAAAAAATGGGTTGCCTGCATCTTGGAAAATTGTTGGGTATGAATCTGTATCAAATGCTACTGATTCTGAGGTATGCATGATAATGGTGATTGACATAACACTATCATAACCTTTGAACAAACTGTTTTTTTGTTTGAATTTTTTCCTGAGCTTTTCTTTTATCCATTTAAGTCCACTGGAGCATCCTCAAAAACAAAGCAAGAATCATCTGTAGTCAAAGAAGGCAATATTTCAAATGGTAATATATATTATTCTGCTGATATATTATTGATTTTGTTACATTTGGATATAAATTCTGACACGTATATTCGTTTTATGCAGAGGATAATTTTGTATTTTTTGAGACACCAGCTAAGCTGGTCAGAAGGGTAAGTGACATGATTTGTTCGTGTATATCTCATTGACATAATTGTTGCAATAAGGAAACTTCTCTTATTTCCTCTTTAATGAGAATCTTGCTGGTCTGCTAGGATTTTACATTCACAAATATTGTGTTCTAATCCTGATTGATGTGGTTATTCCTGCAGCAATTGAGAGAAAAAAGACGTGAGAAGCGCGCTGCTGATTTGGTTAAGCAAGATGATGAAGTGATTGTAAAGCTTGAAAATGCAGCTATTGAACATTCTAAATCAGTTGACTCGGCAGTACTGGGGAAATATAGCATCTGGAGGAAAGAAAACGAGAATGAAAACTCTGATTCAAATGTCCGCCTAATACGAGATCAACTGATTATGGCAAGGGTGTATATAAGTCTTGCAAGGATGAAAAATAAGCTTGATTTGGCCAATGAATTGCAAAACCGGTTCAAAGAAAGCCAGCGGTCTTTAGGAGAGGCAACTGCTGATTCTGATTTACATCAGACGTAATGAATGCATAAAATTATCCATGTTGAACAGCTTCAATACTGTCATATAGTAGATTGCTTAAATTTTTTAATATTCTCAATGACAGTGCACCGGAAAAAGTTAAATTGATGGGGCAGGTGCTGTCTAAAGCAAAAGAGCAATTGTACGACTGCAACCTGGTCACAGGGAAGCTAAGAGCCATGCTCCAATCTGCAGATGAGCAAGTTCGGAGTCTAAAAAAGCAGAGCACATTTCTTAGCCAACTAGCTGCAAAGACAATACCGAATGGGCTCCACTGTTTAGCAATGCGCTTAACAATAGATTATTACCTCCTTCCACCTGAGAAAAGAAAGTTTCCTCAGAGTGAGAATCTGGAAAATCCAAATCTGTACCACTATGCCCTCTTCTCTGATAACGTTCTTGCTGCTTCCGTAGTGGTCAACTCAACCATTATGAATGCCAAGGTGTGGAGTTCTTTCCTGTTTCTATTATTGTTGTACTATTAGGTTTTGCATTTTGATTTGTGTTCCTATTATGCCAGATTTAGTGTGGGCGACATTTCTCGAGCAAAACTATGAATTGTGGATCTTTGTTAGAATTTTGAGTTCATGTGATGCATTTTAAATGAAGTTCTTTTTCAGATGATATAGGATTATTCTTTTGTTTTGCGATTACTTACAGATGTTTTGTGAATAGCTAGATGATTTGATGTTTGATCATCTGCGGATTTACTTCATTTATAAGTGCATGTATACAAGCACAAGGACATACATAACCACAAGTACACACGCTAAAGCGGTGTAATCCAATATTTTGCTCCTAGCATGTGAGTTAGTAGTATACAATACATCATATGATACTCTACTAATCCTTTATATATGTAAAATAGCGATCTTTAAATTTTGAATCGGTTGTCTGCTTAAAGTAGATGTGTGTGCCCACCCATGATTACAGACCTTATTTTTTTTTTTTAATGATTACACACCATTTAACTGATTGTTTCTGCATGCATATATACAATTTATTTTTGTGCTTTCATTATTCTCATTTTACTTCATTCCCATGTCGGAAGCATGTATGTCAGCCTGAGCTGCTTATGAAATATGAAAGATTTCTCATGGGACATACATTGCTTTTTGTGACTTGCAGGAACCTGAGAAACATGTTTTCCATCTTGTTACCGATAAGCTGAATTTTGGCGCTATGAATATGTGGTTTCTCTTGAACCCTCCAGGTAAAGCCACAATCCATGTTGAGAATGTCGATGAGTTCAAGTGGCTCAACTCATCCTACTGTCCAGTCTTACGACAGCTGGAGTCTGCTGCAATGAAAGAATATTATTTTAAGGCAGCCCATCCAACCACACTTTCCGCCGGCTCATCTAACCTCAAATACAGAAACCCAAAGTATCTTTCAATGCTTAACCATCTGAGGTTTTATCTCCCTCAGGTTTATCCAAAACTGGATAAGATTCTCTTCCTAGACGATGACATTGTTGTTCAGAAAGACCTGACCGGGCTCTGGTCGGTTGATCTGCATGGGAAAGTAAATGGTGCGGTTGAAACTTGTGGTGAGAGCTTTCACCGGTTTGATAAATATCTGAATTTTTCAAATCCTCACATTGCCAAAAACTTCGACCCAAATGCTTGTGGATGGGCGTACGGGATGAACATGTTTGATCTCAAGGAGTGGAAAAAGAGGGATATAACTGGCATATACCACAAATGGCAAAATATGGTATGTTTCTTTATCAAGTATAAAAGTCTATGAGATATGGTGTCATATTTATGGGGAAAGTTTGTCAACTATTTCTTTTTTCACTGTTATACATATATTTATTTGTTATTTTTTTACCGTTGATTATTTATTGTTTTCTTGATCACGTACATGATGGTCGAGAGCGCCGGATCTGTGAAAACTTAGAGGCAAAAGTACAGCAAAAATGACTGCTTATTTTAAATGCTAGTTTTCAGGGACTCGTTTCCTTACACAAACTCGTGATAATAAAGTAGTTGTTCATACAATAATCTCTTTTTTGTATCATTAAAAGAAAGGCAGAAAGTATTTTAACTTCATTTGTTTGTTCCATCTGCTGTTGGTATTAGAATGAAGATAGGGTGCTCTGGAAACTCGGAACACTACCTCCAGGTTTAATGACCTTTTATGGGCTCACTCATCCACTCGATAAGTCATGGCATGTGCTTGGTCTGGGTTACAACCCGAGCGTAGATCGTTCAGAAATTGAGAATGCAGCCGTTGTACACTACAACGGGAACATGAAGCCCTGGCTTGAGCTGGCGATGACAAAGTACAAGCCATATTGGACAAAGTACATAAAATATGATCACCCGTACATACGTAACTGCAAACTAAGTGAATGAAAGCGAACTGAGTTGGAAGGGGATGTGGGACTGAGCCTTTCTAACTCTTGGTTCACACCATTGAAGGCCTGTTAAAATGGTCGAGGCAAGTTATGTGTTTTGGCCATTCATGAAATCGTGCATTTGTGTGATTTAATCCAATTTATCAATTCTTGATTTTGTAAATGTCGGAAGTGAGAAATCCGGGATTGTATTGCTGATACCTGTTAGTGTTTGTTCGTTCGTTTATGTTAGTTATGAAAACAAGATGTTTATTAGTTGAAGAAGCTGAAGTTACTAATGTATTCTTTGAACGTACTTGGGTTACTAGAGTTCACATGTAACTGGATTTGAGTGGATACTATGAGCAGAGTATTTTAATGATGGTTGTTCTTTTTTGTTCTACTGGCATATTACTAACTGGTAGTCCCGCTCACCTGCCCACGGTGGGCAGTGTCCACCACTTTATTTTACATGAAAAACGTATTCTGATAACGTATTATCAGAATACGTTTTTCATGTAAAATAAAGTGGTGGACACTGCTCACCGTGGGCAGGGGATCAAAATTTTACTAACTGGTATGGTCAAATAAGACACTTGGAAATTTACTACACTTGATTTGCAGCTCAAACTGGAAGTTATGAATGAGTTTTATTCATGAAGGGCATGTTTGTTTGGCATGATAAGTAGGTTTACACCTTAATCTTGGTGTAATCCTATGTTTGTTAACCTTGAGTGCATCCCGCAAGATAAGTTTCGGCACGACTTAAAAAATACAAGTAATCATGGATATGCACGACTATTCTTTTCGTCTCCAAAATACATTAATGAGGAAATATCAAAATTGTCCTCTTCTTCCAATTTGAGACATCATTCTTCTTTCACTTTTCATCTTTCCTTTTTTCATTTTTCTTTGTGAATGTTGGAGAACGCAATCTCTTAATGTGGAAGTTGTAGTAAATCTTTTTCATAATCCTTGAAGTCTATCGGATAAAATTCATTGACAAAAAGGCAAATGTCATCTATATTAAAAGACATTCGAGAATTGTGAGGATCAAACATAGAGCTAAGAGCAAGTAGATTCATTCACAAAAAGGCAAATGTCATCTATATTAAAAGACATTCGAGAATTGTGAGGATCAAACATAGAGCTAAGAGCAAGTAGTTTCACTGCATGCTCACGAAATTTGTTGTTTAGCTCTTACATTTAACAATATATCATAACCATAAAAATATAAATACGGTAATAATCATCGACTGTAAATAGATTTTTGTATTCCAATATCGTCCTCCTCTTTCAACAGATAAATCATTAACATCATTAATATCTATGAACGAATTTCACAAAGACATGTTACCTTGCTAAAAAGGCTGTCAGATCCATCATCTCCCAATTTTTGGATTAGATTCTTTGTAGTGCCAACAAGATGCATAACATTCAGAATACCTTGAGATTCTGTTGGAGAGCTCGACAAAGCGTATCTGTTATTTTTGTTAGGTATCTCATTAACTCATTCTCTATTCATTCATTACTACACTCTCATTTATGATTGCTGACTTGGGCATCGGAGGCCCGACGCTGGAACCCTCCTAGTGTTGGGTTCTTGCAGGTACGGAGGCCGTTCGAGTGAAGGAGCCCGGGTGAAGTCCATATCACTATTAATTTAGTTAATAGTTGATAAAGTCTAAATGACATTTAAAAAGAACATGAGACAGTATTTAATAGGAGACAAGTATTGTCAATTGCTTGATATCCAAGTCAATTCACTTCTACAATATGAGTCAGACACACACACACACACATATATATATATATATATATATATATATATATATAGCCATT